TGGACGATCTATCCATTGATGTCAAAGAGGTGTTAAAGTACCCTACTATTATTGCATTACTGTCCATTTCTTCCTTTAATGTTTGTTAATATTTATTTGCTTTATGTATTTTGCTTTATGGATTTTTTTTAAGATTTCACCTATTTATTCATGAGAAACACAGAAAGGAGAGAGAGAGAGAGAGAGAGAGAGAGAGAGAGAGACAGGCAGAGGGAGAAGCAGGCTCCATGCAAGGAGCCTGACATGGGACTCGATCCCGGGTCCCCAGGATCATGCCCTGGGCTGAAGACGGCGCTAAACCGCTGAGCCACCTGGACTGCTCTACTTTATGTATTTAGGTGCTCCAGTGTTGGATGCATAGATGTTTACAATTGTTACATATCCTGTTTTTGGATTTTGGATCCTTTATTTTTTTTTAAAAGATTTTATTTATTCATGAGAGATACACAGAGAAAGAGGCAGAGACACAAAGGGAGAAGCAGGCTACATGCAGGGAGCCTGACATGGAACTCGATCCTGGGCCTCCAGGATCATGCCCTGGGCCGAAGGTGGTGCTAAACCGCTGAGCCACCAGGGCTGCCCATGATCCCTTTACTATATAATGCACTTCTTTGTCTCATTAAAGTCTTTGTTTTAAAGTCTATTTTGAAAAAAAAAATAATAAAGTCTATTTTGTCTGATACAAGTGTTGCTACCTGGCCTTTTTTTTTTTTTTCCACTTCCATTTGTGTGGGGTGTCTTTTTCCATCCCTTTGCTTTCAGTCTATGTGTGTCTTTAGATATGATATCTTTTGTAGGCAGCATATATATGGGTCTTGTTTTTTTGGGTCTTATTTTTTCATCCATTCTGTCATTCTATGTCTTGATTGGAGCATATAGATCATTTACATTTAATTATTGAGGGACACCTGATTGGCTCAGTGGTTGAGTGTCTGCCTTTGGCTCAGGTCGTGATCTTGGGGTCCTGGGATTGAGTCCTGCATCAGGCTCCCTGCTCCTCCCTCTATCTATGTCTCTGCCTCTCTCTATGTGTCTCTCATGAATAAATAGAGAAAATCTTTTAAAAAAATAATTATTGACAGGTATGTATTTGTTGCCATTTTGTTTTTGGATGTTTTTTTGTAGTTCTCTGTTGCTTTTCTTGCTCTATGATGATTACTGACTTTCTAATTGTTATGATTGGCTGTCTTTGGCTTTATTTTTTGTGTATCTATTACAGGTTTTTGGTGTGTGGTTATCATGAGGCTCATATATACTTCACATATAGTTCACATATAGTGCTACTTCATCCTAAATATATGGCAGTCTATATTAAGTTGATGACTTAAGTTTGAATACACTCTCAAAGAACTGTACTCCCTCCTCCACATTTTGTATGTATATTTTACATTTTAAAATTTTTGTGATTACCCTTAACCAATATTTTTAATTTGTTGATTTTAAGTTTTGTCTTTTAACCTTCACACTAGCTTTATAAGTGATTGCTTTACTACCTTTACTGTGTATTTGCTCATGAAATTTACTCATGAAATTTTTTCCTTTCATAATTTTCTTCTAATTATGGCCTTTTCTTTTCCACCTAAAGAGGCCCCTTTAACATTTCTCATAAGGCTGATTTAGTGATGATGAACTCCTTCAACTTTTTTCTCTTTTCTTCTTCTTCTTCTTCTTCTTCTTCTTCTTCTTCTTCTTCTTCTTCTTCTTCTTCCTTCTTCTTCCTTCTTCTTCTTTCTTCTTCTTCTTCTTCTTCTTCTTCTTCTTCTTCTTCTTCTTCTTCTTCTTCTTTCTTTTCTTCTTTCTTCTTTCTTCTTCTTCTTTTGGTCTGGAAAGCTCTCTCTCCAATTTCTCTCCAATTCTGAATGCTAATCTTGCTTGTTGAGTTTTCTTGGTTGTATGTTTTTTTTCTTTTAACAGTTTGAATATATCGTGCCACTCCTTTCTGGCCTGCAAAGTTTCTTTCTGCTGGAAAATCAGCAGATTGTCTTATAGGGTTTCCTTTGTGTGTAGCTTGTTATTTCTTTCTTGCTGCTTTTAAATTTCTCTCTTTAATCTTTGGTATTTTAATTATTATGTGTTGTGGCATGCACTTACTTGTGTTCCTCTTGTTTGGAACTCTTTGTGCTTCCAGAATCCAGAGGTTTGTTTCCTTCCCCTGTTTAGGGAAGTTTTTAGCTCTTATTCCTTCAAATACATTTTCTGCTCTCTTCTCTCCGCTCCTCCATTTGGAACCCCCATAATGCCAATGTTTGTTTGCTGAACATGTTGTTCAAGAGATCCCCTAACCTATCCTCATTTTAAAAATTTCTTTATTTTTGCTGTTCAGCTTGTGTGCTTTTTGTTACCCTACCTTCCAGATTGCTGATCTGTTCTGCATCCTCTAATCTACTACAGATTCCCTCTACTGTATTTTTCATTTCAGTTATTGTATTCTTTAACCCAGTTTTTTTCATCTTTTCTTTCTCCTTGTTTTCTTTCTCACTAAATTCATCTATTCTTCTTTCCAATCATGTGAACATTTTAATGACCATGACTTCAAACTCTTTATCAGGTAAAATGATTATCTTCATTTCCTTTTCTTTTTCTGAGGTTTGTTTTGAGCCTATTCCTCCGTATCCTCATTTTGCTTGACTTTGTTTATATGAATTAGGGGGAGCGCTACTTCTCCTAAATTTGAAGGAATGGTTTTATGTATGGTCATTCCCTACGTAGACTGTGTGTATGCCTGGTGACTGGCTGGCTAGAGCTTTGTTTGGCATGGGCTAGGGCGGGGGTGGGGTGTCTCAGGACACCCTGTGTTTAAGCTGCTCTGGTGGAATGGCCTGAGCTGAAGTGGGCATGAGCTGGGGTGTCCCATGCAGGAGGCACTCTGATGGGGGCAGCTGGAGTCAAGGTGGGCACAGACCAGGAGTTTCTGAGGTGCTCCATGTAGAGGGTGTCCCGGAGAGCAGCTAGAGCTGCAGTGGGGTATAGGCTGAAGGTTTCCAGAGTGCTTAGCATTGGGAGGGTGCCCTAGCCAAGACAGGTACAGCCCAGGGGCTTCTCAAGGGTACCATACAGGGTGTAACCTGATGGGCCAGGAGGTCCAGGGTATTCTGCTCTAGGGCTGCACCATATGTTCCTAACATCTATGCTACACTGCCACTTTGTGACATTTGGAAACCCAGGCCAGAAGCTCAGGGTAGATCTGAGCTGTAGCTATAGATAATGTTGTTCATCTGAGGCCAGGGGAGTGCTAAGGACCTATAGCCATCTAGGGAGTGGTGTCAAATTTGTCCTTTTGATTAATTATCAGGTGTAAACATATCACTGATGTGCCCCCGAAATTGAGGCATTGTAGAGGGGACACAATAGGTTGTACTTAAGCATCACTTCCCAAGGTTCTCAAGCCCCTACCCTCCCCAGGGTGCTTTGCCCAGAAAAAGGACAGCAGCTTCAGGCTGAGCCCCCCTGAAGGCACATGGCAGAGGGAGCAGGTCCCACTGCCAATGAGCCCTCCAAGAGGTCAACCTAAGGCAAGGAGGGGTAGCAGGCATGCATGTCAGACTTGCAGGTGGTCTGAAAAAGAGGAATCCACACTGTTCTTCAAGAGAGTGCCCTGGCAGGACTTATCTAAAGCTCTCTCCTAAGGGCTTAGTGTTTTAAAATTCAGGTAAGCCCAAGTCATAGAAAGCTGATGCCCTAAAGGATAGCACAGGATATCTGTGTTCTCATTGGTGAGATGAGAAAGGTGAAGCCCTGAGAAGTGACTCAGCCAAATTGCCCAGTTACGGGTTGTGACACAGCCACCACTTGTCTGTCCTGGAATGACAAAACAGATCTGATGGGTGTACTGGCCACCTCTATCTATCGGGAATGTGTAGCCTCAACCTTTGTTTACTTCAGAAAGGGCTCCCTCAAGATGGTGGTCAGTTTCCTTCCCTGTTGCAGGGCAGAGCCTGTTGGGGGTGTTACCAAAGCTTTTCTTTATAGGTCTTTCACTCCCTGGGATAACTGTAGTCCTGTTCTGCCAATTAGATGTATCAAAGTCAGAGAGCTCTGGAGGGGAGCAGAGGGCAGAATGGGGGCAAAGCTTTCAGTCTGAAACCTGAAACCCTTTCTGTAAATGCCAGCCCTCTCTGCTGCTGCCACTCCTGCTCCAGGAGCCCTGCGGCTAGTACAGGTGAGAGCTGGTGCAGTGATGCAGAAGGCTAACATCCAATGGTGGCTTTGCAGCTGTTGCTTAGCAAAGAAGTAAGTAGTGCATGTGGTCAATCCAACCTTCTGAGGCTGGACATTCCCAGGAGAGGGAAGAGCAGCTCCCTTTGTTCCACACCTTGCTACTCAGAAGCATGATTCCTGGACCAGCAACATCAGTGTGTCCTGAGAGCTAGCTAGAAATGCAGAAATCTCAGGACCACCTAGACTTACTGAGTTGGCATCTGGCAGACTGAGCATATGATATCTAGTAACCTTACCCACCTAAAATGTAGCCAGAAAGCACTGAGGTCCCTCTTGCTTCCCTCCAAAACCAAGAGACAAGTTAGACAAGAGACAAGTTAGAACCAGAAAGATAAGTGATAAAGCTCTTAGCTTTACAGGGCAAATACTCAAGACTTGTCCTGGAGACAGAGGTAAGTACTCAAAAGCAAAGTAGTTTGGGACTTTTGCTTTGGGGCAGTGACACCCCACAGGCTCCCCAAGGCATTGCTGCTATACAAAGCTGTCTGATATCACATATTACAGAGATGACTCTGAGGGATTTAACAAGTTAACTTATATTCATTATTCCTAGATTATTAAAGAACAGACAGTTGGGTGCTACATCTTAGTCCTAGAAAGCTAATTTATGTACAGCCATCCTTCCCCCCAATAATACCTGATACATGAAGTGGTTTTCCATCTCCATAACTCTGTTTGCTGATGAACAGACCTGCCTTCCTCCCAAACCCAGTCTTCAAAGTGTTTTCAGTGGTTGATAAAACACACAGGAGTCGAGGAAATTTTTTTAGACTTTTTTTTGTTTGTTTTTAAAGAAACTGCATACATCATCAGAGACAAACAATAATTTAAATACCATGCAGTTTCTGTATGTACAAAACCTAGGCCATAGAGATCCAGTTTAATTTGTATTCTATTTACATTGTCTTCCTCATACAGCCATCATCTGTTAAATTAGAACACAGGAGAGCGCTCCTATACACAGACAAACTATGTACAGACACCCGGGAAGCAACTGGAAAAAGCAACTGGTTTGGGGATTAACAGACAGATGGGAAGAAAAAGTCATCTAAGGTGACCTTCACCCACTGGCTGTGCACGGGGAGAGCCTGAAATCCCATTCACCGAAGCACACACCACGATATTCATTCGGCAAATATAAATACACGTTCATAAGCGGGAGAAAAAATAAACTCAGGTTTTTATCACATCTACCATCACATTGTTTGGTTTCTCTAATTTGACATAAAGGCTAAAGTTTTAAAAGTTTTACAGGGCTTTGAGGGCCTTTGGAGAGGAATAGATAGCAATTTTGAAAGAGCAAGTAGGCCAATGGCAGTCCTTTCTGTCACAGATGGTGGTGGGGAAGTTGGGGCAATGTCTGATTTTGGGAGGGAAACCTTTTGATTTGCGAAATTTCACATTGTTCCTCTCACGCTAATCCAAATGACAAAAGGCTCAACTGGGAATGTATACGTACAAGACCTTTGAGAACTGCAGCTTTTTCAGAAAATGGATGCATTTTAAAACCACCTAGCCCATCTCACTTTTTTTTTTATTTGTAACTTCTTCCAGTTGTCCTAACAATATGGCAATAAAGAAATGTGGATAGATTTCTCTAAAGACCTCAAGAGTTCACGGAAGGAAAGAGACAGAGGCCCCATCCTGTGGTCCACTGAGATTGCTGAGCCCCCTAAAGTGGGCTTGAAATAGCCCACTTGGATGGTAGGTGAGATTTCAGGGGTGTGGAAGGTTCACCCCTAATTCCTGCAACTGACTTTTCAAAAAGGGTGCTCTGCAGGAATGGAAGTGGAAATTGTGTTCCATATCTTCCATGCTCAAAGTGGACTGCACTTTGGGCAGGATACCTGGGCTGCTGGCTGGCTGCAGGGAAACTGAATTGGGCGTCATGTTCCCAGGGCTTCAGAGGCCCCAGAACCGAAGCCAGCAGAGAAGCCATTGGCCTTCAGAGGAGGAGTCCAGGCAATGGAATGAGTTCCCATAGGACTCGCTCCTGGGCCCAGGGAAGGCCCGACCACCGTGCCAGGGCCCTGTGAGCCACACGAAGACAGCTGGGAGTCACAGGAAGCTCCGACTCAAATCCTGGCAAGGCAGGCACCTCTGCCTGGAACACGTGCCTGCCGTAAAGAAGTCAAACGAAAGAGCCCTACATCTTTCGTCATACCATTTGCACATTCAAACGTCAGTAAGCCTTTCGGGAAGACTGTGTTTACACAGCCACACTGAAATCCCGACCACGTTTTCCCTGAACAATATACCTTCCCACGACAGTTAACTATTCAGATTCAACATTCAAAGAAAAAAAAAGGATCTAGTGATGGCGGCCCTCCTTGGGCTGGGCAGTGGCGTGCTCACTCCAGATGGGAGGAGAAAAGCGCACGACAGCTTTGCAATGGCTAGTGGGCACTGCCTAAAGAACTGCCCTGAGCTCCCCCCCAAAATATGCCCAGCTCCTGGATTAATGCTGGCCAGAGGAGCTGTTAACGCCTGCCGAAAATTAAATGGCCTCACTGATGGGTGTGCCTCCCCAGAGTAACGCTTTCCACACGTTTTGGGGTGGGAGCCACTTAACTCCTTTTTGTGACGGCCAATCTGGCATCTCTCTGACTCTTGGGCACGTGTGGAGGGGAGCGAGCCATTACCCAGAGAAGTGGTGGTAACAGTGAGACCATAACAGAAAACCAGGCAGAGCTGTGTGCCTGAGGGCCCTGTGAGGTCTGTTAGGAAGGAAAACAGAAGAAGCTGCAATGGGCCTCAAGAGAGTTGTTAGGGCTTGGGGGCTGTCCTTCCTCTCACTGCACATCCTTATCCCTGTTGTCCCTCTGTCAGAAGAGCACTGCCTTCTTGTGGTCCCAAGTGAATGGGACAGTGGGAGAGACATCTCCAATCAGTCTTACCAGCACCATGAGGGAGAGGAAGGATTCTCTCTGGATAGGAGCAGAAAGGTACAGCATGAGCAGGCGTGGCTGGTGTTTGCACGATTCTGGCATATGCCAAACCCTGAAGCTCCTCCACGGAAACTCTTCAGTGCAAAGAAAGGAGACTAGAAGGCCATCAAGTGGTTCTGGAGTACCAGTCCCTCAGTGACTGGACAGCCAGCCTTTCAGGACTGGTTTCTGGCTTGCATGCATTGGTCCTATACTCAGAGGCTGTTTTGTTAACTTCCATTCCACACAGTCACTCACCCCGGGGTGCGTGGAGAAAATGAAGAACGTCAGCCAAGCAGTTTCTTACCCCAGCCTTTCTGTCCTCAACAGGGTCCTTACACTCGGATGCACGAATACCACAGGAGTACCACAGCCGTGGCTGTGCGCGTAAGATCACCCGTGACATTTGGCTTTTTGGACACAGATGGGTCAATTAATTTGAACTGAGCAGATGACAGCTTTCCCTTCTAAACCAGAGCTCCCTGGAAGGCAGCTCAGCTCAGTCTGCGGGGACACGACAGGTAGTCATGCTGGGAGCACACGCTCTTGGGACCAAAGGTCAACCACAGATGCCCCCAGAAAAGCACCTTCCCTTTCATTCACCGTATGGATGATGGCTAGAGGGAGAGGAAGGACAGGGGCAACTGAGGACAGTGCTCCCTTTCAGCATCCTCCTCCTAAGAGGCCCCCGAGCCCAATGCCGCTCCTGGAGCCAGTGAGTCTGGCCAAGTCTAGAAGGCCTACCAGACCACTTGCTTTGCACAGTCATATCCAGGCCAAACGCACTGCTTCGGCTTTCTTTGGACCCCGGTGACACACACTTTAGGAGAAGAGCTTGGCTGGGGCCTAAATGAGCCTAAATGAGGTTGGCCTGCTGGGCCTGGCTGGAGAGGACCGGGCCCGCTCCGAGCACTGGGAAGCCTTCAGTTCGCTCTGCCGGTGCCCTCCGAATCAGCGGTGGTGCCAGCAGCTCTGATCATGGAGCGGTGACCATCGCATTTTCGCAAAGAGAATCCTGATCATGTTTCCTTTTATTTTTCTTCTTCTTCTTTTTAAAAAAGGCAGTTCAGAAGATTTACATCATAATGGGGAAGTGAATAAATACCAGCACTTATGGTTCTTATAAATTTATGTTTTGAAGACAGCATAGCACTCAAGAGGAATTGGACTGTTAAGGTCGGTGAAACCTAGAAAAACAAATAATTAAATCAAGACCAAGGGGCTGCCAAAGGTGCCAGACTCCCCCATCCAAGCTTCCCATCCTCAGATTCCCCACTGCTGACAAGTGCCAAGTTGAATCTGGTTTAACCTCCACGAAAAGGCACATCCCTACAGAACTCCTCAGGTCCTTGAGCCCCATGGGATTCACCTTTGATTTTGGGATGGTCTAATGTGGAGCTCCTGGGGGTCAAACCAGATGGCCCTGCTGGCCCTCAGCCCATGCTCTCCGCTTGGACTCAGCAGCCAGGTATAGCACCTGGCCTGTGTCTCCGAGTCCATGCACTATAGAATTGGTACGTCCTGTTTCTCTAAGTTGTTCACCAGTGAGTACAGGTCCTAAGAATTAAGTCGATGTCTCTGTTGCTAAACTAGCCATGTGACTTTATATCAGCCCCTTAAATCTCTCTATGCTTCAGTCTGGAATCATAGGAGGGAACCCCCACCTTGGAAGTCCCGTGTGGATTTGGTATTTCTGCCCAGGTTTGGCTTGGGCCGAGCTGTAAACTGTCAATGGTCTTGACTTCTCAGCTTGTCTCCATAGAAACCCACTCTGGCATCATTGGTGGCTCAGCACTTATCAGATCTTTAATCAGATCTTTAGTTTGGATAATTTAAAAACTAGGCTTCCAGAAGGTCCCATTTAGCCTGGGCTGTAATGCTCCTTCCCCGAGCTTTGGTAACCGTAGGGGAACTTCACACTGACCTCTCACCTTCTTTTGCGCCACACCTGCCACCCAACCTGTGATCCAGAAGCAAATGGGATAGTTTTGTCTGGAAGCAAATATTACAGTTTTTTTTTTTGGGGGGGTGGGGCAAGGGAAAAGAACTGCTTGGTACACTAACCTTGTTAAATGTCTACTCAATTCATGAACTTCCATTTCAGTGCTTTTAAATTCATTGAGCTCCTTTCGAATGGCAGCCTGGAATAAAGAAAATCCCGTGAACATGCAGAAGAGGCAGATGGAAAGGAGTTCACCTCTATTTTCTGTGTTCTTCGACAAAGCCGTTCGACAAAGTACGTAACATGAATTCTCTCATGGGGAGGGGAAAAAAATCACCCAGAACCTACTAAGGATCCCCCTCCCGCTAAATGTAAATTGTAAATGGTGGTACATGGCATGTTGCCCCAAGTGTTGTCTTCCTGTCTCCATGGAGCACTGCTGTCTAGGCAGCCACAGCCCACACAGATCTGCCCCACACTCCTTGGGGCTTTAAATGTCAACCTCTTATCTTCCCTGGGGAAATGATCTGAGCTCACCACGGGCAGGGTGATGCCTCACGATGGATCCTTCTAGAAGGGGTGGGTGATTGCGCCATCCTGTGATGTATAAAGCCCCCACTCGTTGACAGCTCCATTGACTCTAAGGTGGCTGAGCCATCATCAAGGCCATGGGCCATGTGTGGATGGCCGCCTCCTCCCAGCACTGTCCGCAGATGTGCAGTGGCCAAGAGGAGAGTCGGGCAATCACACCGCAAGGACTGGTGAGGATGGACGGGATAGGTTTGGCATTGGAGGAAACCTCACTTCTTCCTTGGGGGCTGAAATTCCTTAGGTAGGATCAGTGTGGCTCCCCCTCAAGAGAGGCGGCACACACGGCCTCTGTGCCTGTTTATCAGCCTGAGAACCGCTTCCTGTTCCTCTGCCACAACAGCCTGTGAGGAACTAGAGAGTTCCCTGCTGCTCACAGTTTCAGCACGTGTGTGTGGAGACATGCTGTGCTTTCTCTCCACTTTTGCTGATCCCTCATCCTTGGTAAGCCAGCACCCTGTCATCAGAACAGGAACAAAAGGCAACAAGGGCCAAGGCCCCTTCCTGCGTTCCTGTGTATGTGACACAACTGCTTGGGGACTGAGTGTGTGTATGTGTGGTGGATGGTGCTGCCGTTCCCTGGGTCAATCCCCACAGATGCCTGCACAGGGAAGAGGGGAGTGCTGTGTTTAAGAGGGGGCAGAGGTTCCCGTTCGTCAGGACCTGTGGGGTGGACTCAGCATGTGGGAAGCACCTCTGGAAAGTCTGTCTGCCTCTGGCCCCATCGTTCCTTCTTGAGTGCAACAGCTGCCCTGCGTTCACACTGCCTGCACTTGGTCAGGCCGGAGGCTGAGCTGTAGATGACCTCGCCCTGTGGTTCATATAAGAACAACACTGGCCCTGGGAATTCATGGGCAGGACTCTTTAAGAGAAGGCCCCCAGTGTACCCCAGACTCCTCCCACTGTTAACTTGCACATGGGACATAGTCATTAATTTAGACTTTTTTGTTAGTCCCTCATGGTGACCGGACTAGAGTCACAAAGGATTACAAAGCAGAGGTTCATTTTGATACATGGTCCAGTGGTCAAGTAAGAATGAGGTCTCTCTAAGTAGAGGGAGGGCTTGAACCCATGACCCCGAGATCAAGACCTGAGCTGAGATCAAGAGTCAGACACCTAACCAACTGAGGCACCCCAGTGCCCCAAGAATGATGAATCTTTTGCCTCCCTGCATTTCCTATAAAACAAACTCAACTTCAGATTATTTGTTTTCCAAATGGATGAGTGTTTAGTGTAGCGAGGCAGGTTTCGCGTCTCTGTGATCTGTGTCCCGTTTCTACCATCAGGTTATAATAATTTACAGAGTGAGTTTGTCTCTTTGTGGTTTTTTGAATCCTGCTCCGAGGACAGCGTCCTGCTCACCAAAGGTCCACAATAGGTGTGGAGCCTGGCGCCCGTGAGCAGTTGCATGCCCATACTGGGGCTATTCTGTTCCTCTGGGCACAGCCTCCACACTGCCTGTCCTCCCGCTGTCATGTAGCATATCTGTAACTGTCTCGCGCCTTCTCTGCAGCCGTGAAGAGTCAATTCAGTGACCTCCCTGCAGAGTATCTGGAGCCCAGGGGTGAGGTTTGGGGACACAGTGCCCTTGGCTCGGCAGGCAGGCCCCGCAGCCCTGCGGCACCCTCGTTACTGACACCGTGACCTCAGCTTTGCAGCTGTCCGGGACACAGGGGCCAACTGAGGCATGAGGAACCCACACCTCACCCCGGGCCCTCTGCTTACTTTGTCGGCAGCGGTGAGGCGGGTCCACGGCTTATCGGCCCTGCGGTCGTAGTCCTGAGCATCAGCCACCTCCACATAGTCGCTGAAACGGATGAGGATCTTTCTTTCTCTAAGTTCTTCCACTGTGGGTCTTTGGCTGAGCTGCAAGGGAGGAGAGAGACGGACCCCGTCAGCCGGAGGAGTTGAGGCTGCCGGGTCAGTCTGTGAATTTACGGGCGGGCGGGCGAGGTGACAGCCAACATGCGACACAAAGAGTGAGGGGGCAGGGCCCTGGGGGCGGGCGGTACCTAGGGCTTCTGACTCCTGGACCTGGGCCTTTGCCAGGACTCCGAGACAGAGCTTCATTGCCCCTGGAGCTATCTACAGGTTTCTCCGGATAGACAGCCTGCGGCTCTTCACGACACTGCAGTGTCCCCTCGCACGCAGCTCCTCCGTCTGCGTGGGTGTGGATTTTCCCACACCTGTGCTACTTCTCCCCGTGGGTGACAGGCACCTTCCATTGTGCTTCTGTCTCATTTTGGTTTTGTAAGTCCACATCCATGTGTCAAATTGAGTGTGCTCTGCAGGATGGGTGTGTAAATCATTTGAAGTGTGTGTGTGTGTGTGTGTGTGTCTTAGATGCAAAAAAGGTGTATATGCAAACAATATGCAAAGTCAGGGTATGCAGGGATGATTAGGAGGTCAGAGGAGACCCTGCCCGTCAGGGAGTTCCAAAGAAAAGCCAGTCCACAAATGTAGAGCTGGGCTTGGTTTCTGCCAGGGAAGCGGGGGGGACAGTCCTATGGGATGGGTCTGTGGGAAGGGGTGTGAGGAGGAGGAGGAGGAGAATTCACACGGACGGAGCCCCCTCCGGGTCCTAGTCACCAACACCCTGCCTTTTACTTAAATGGCACAAGAGTTATGTTTCTATTATCATTTCCTGCCACTCGGTTTTTCTCCTGGAGCAACACTGTCGCTCTTTCTTTAGGAGACCGTCTATTCATGTTATTTAAAAGCAATTTTTCCTCTAAGCCCTAGACTGTATTTACTTCTATTAATAGAAAACACAGATACAATCTTCACCGCCAAGGTGCATGAAACAAACACCCACAAGTGAATCCAAACCACCTGGCTTTTTGACCCTGTCTCCTGCAGCTGCCCTGTACCCCCGGCTGGTGCCAGAGCGCTCCAGCTTGCTGCCGACTGGCCGACGGTGGGCAAGCAGGGTTCGATGACTGCCAGGCTGGTATTGGACAGAATGGAGCTGGGCATGGTGAGGTTCCAGATAGGGCCAGAGCAGCGTGCCGCTCCCTCCTGGCCGGTGGTGGGGAGATCTGGGGACCAGAGGCCTCAGGGGCTGTGGCACCAGCCTACTTGCATGGAAAACGTGTGGCTCCCTGAGTATAAATGATTCCAGTCTGTGCTGAGACGGCCCTAGCTTTCCTAGGACAGGACCTTCTGGCAGCAGTGCTGGCCTGTCCCAGGAAACCATAGGTGTCCCAGGCTTTATGGGTCCGTCCTGAATCGAAAATGCGTTCTCTAAAATGTGAGTTCAGGGAGCTTTTGCACTATCATTAAAATACATACAGACATATGCTGTTTCCATACCCCTCCCACCCGAAATCCTTTGGTATTTCTTAGGACTAGCAAGATTTACCATGGGGTGTTGGACAAATGGTGTTAATTTCTAAATACACCATGACCAGAAAAAGGTTAAACATGGAATTTCTAGTTTTTATTTCTGGAAATCATGATCTGGATATTTTACACATAGACTTAACGGCAGAAATCTGGAGTGAACAGGAAACTAAATGTTAGATCTAAAGGTCAGTGACTATTTTTCATGCCTGAATTCCATGGAGACGTTAGGCACCATCTCTGCAAATCAACAAGGCACTGCACCCAAGTGCGCTGAGGGAGGGAGGGAGTGAAGGCACCAACTTCTTCCACTGGGAGAGTCTCGGGGTGTGTGGAGCCAACCAACCAACCAACCAACCAACCCACCCCCTCCAGACTCTTCCCTGGGAGCTTGGGCTCATGCTCCTGGCTCCTCGGGGTACATAAACCTGGGCTCCCTCCTTAGAGGGTGAAGACATAATTTTTGTGGCCAAGGTAAGGTTTCTGGGGATGGTGGGCTAGCAGCAGGGGTAGGGAGCAGGGGTCGGTAGCATTACATTTTAACCTACAGCAGAAATATCATTTGCAACCAAATACTGAAGAGTAAGGTACTTGAGACCCAATTCCCACTATCAATAAAACTTGACCCAAGTGCATGTCCCCTCCTCCCCTTCATTTCTGTCTCCCCTTCATTCTTCCCATCCATCCATTTAACTAGCTAGCATTTTTTTTTTTTTGTTTTGAAAAGGGGAGGCCAGCATTTCCTAAAAGACGGAGCATATGATTTTTAAGTTAGTCTCAGCTTGGCTGAAGAATAAGACTGGTCTGTTGCTATCTGCATCAGCTCCTGGGTTCCACTGTTCTCACTAGTACATTAAAATTAGATGGAAAACCTCTGACTGCAGGTAACTGAAATGCAGCCACAACCACTGGCATCTGGTCTTGCTGCACTCAAGGCTCCCCAGGGAAAGGACCCGCCCAGGGCCAGGAGGCCATATGAAGTCTCGACCTACTGGCAGGCTCACATGTCTGTCGGCAAAACCAGATGGAAAATCTCCTTCCAGCCTCTCCCTTTAAAGCACTTTTCCCTTCCCTTAAAGTCATTATTTTTTATCCTCCATGCCAGCCCCAGGGAGGGCAGATGCAAAAATTATCAGGCAGTTTTCTTGGGGGGAAGGAAGGAGAGCTAATGGGGAGGAAGAGGAGCCAGTCCAGGGGGATGCCACCATCATCTGGACTTTCAGGCACTTGTTTGTCCTACTCCTTATAACTGGGGCGGCACTGGGTTTGTCACCAGATGTATGGGATGTTCCAAGTGAGAGTAAGTGCCAAGAAACACAAATCATCACCCTAATAGTTTGTAGGGCATGTTTTAGGATCTCTGAATTTCTTCCTTCATATAATATTTCTAGGGAGAAAAACCCATTAATAAACCTTTAAAAATTAATTTTAATGGGTCTCTTAACTGTCTCTAAGATTTGAGTATCTTTCTCTCAAGACGGTCACTGTAGGAGGCTGATTAAAAACACAGAATGTAGTATTGTTTCTTGTGTGCTATCAATTAATTAAATGTGTCAACGCCATTCAAGAATAGTTTCAAATAAGAGTCTGTTATTAGGCCACTCATACAGAATTGGATCCATTTGGGTCTACTTTGCGTGGCCAACCCGTCTATTTTGGGGGTTAAACATACATAAAAATTCTGGCTTTATAAGATTTTATATGCTTTTCCAACACCTTCAGTAAATTGTTCAGTACTTTCGGCATTTTCCTAATTCAGTAATTCGCGCTGGACTTGGCGTAATGAAGTCAATGAGTTCTCAGTGAATAGGTAAGGAATAGTATGGGGGGCGGGGCGGGGGGCAAGGGAGATTTCCTCTCCTGGGGTCACAGCACATAAGTGCATTATATTTGCATTGCTGATTCTGAGAATGCATTTCCAGTGCTCAGTGAGGTGAACTTTTAGCGAATTTGGTGAATTTTTAAAAAACAAAATATTCACGGTTAACTGACATATGATGCGCCTGACATTAAGTTGCTTTGGGTGGGGGAGGGGGGCGTGTCACAAAAAAAAAAAAATCAAGCAGCACGATGTGACCAGCCAGTCCCAGAGGATTGAGGGGCATGAGACGGAGCTGTCCACTGTCCCCGGGAGAGGCCGTGTGGGGTCCAGAGGGCCACTCGCTCTCGGGGCCAAAGAGCAGGACGGCAGGGAGCACCCCGTCCCCTCCCGTGGGCCACGTGCTCTCCCACCCCAGCCCCAGGGCAAAGCCGCTCACCTTGCGGGTTAGCCTCCTCTTGATCTCTCTTTTCTCCTCTTGTTCTTCCTGTTCATTCCGAGCTGCAAGAAACATCGAAGAACGCCCCTGATTTTGGGAAACTGAGTCGCATGCAGGCGAATCCTGCGACCATCTGCTCGGGGCGCTCTCCCAACCGCTCCTTGTCTCGAGTGCGCTGGCCGGCGGGCCTCCTCACTCTCTTTCCTTTCCTGGGCTACGTGGAGGGGGCGGTGGAGTCTCCAGGCAGACGTGAGGGCTGAGAAGTGGGTGCGAGGCAAGGGGGGTGGGTCCCGCAAGGGCCTGCAAGGTCCTACAACTGCTGTCAGTGGGGCCGGGGCATCTGGGGAGAGAGGCGAGGCTCCCTGCTCTGGACGAGACCCGGGGGCTCGCTCCACTCTGCCGTGGGCCCCCCAGCGCCCGACGGGGGCTCGCGGGCACGTGGCCTCGGGTCTGGCACTCGCTCGGTGGGGATCGGACAGAAGGTGGTCTGCGGGGGCACCTGCCACTCGCCGCCGAAACAGGAGGCGGCTGGGCTGCCGCCAAATGCCAGCGTGTGCTGCACGAGGAACTTCAAAACGCTCACCTTTCGTAAGCCCTGATTCCATTAATTCTTTGACTCTTCCAAGAAGTCCACAGAACAGGTGGGAGGCCAGAGTGTGGGACACAATTGCCTGCATTTAGACTTTTTAGGGAGTGTCTCAGGAGAGAGGACTTCGGAGTCTAAGCGTTCCCAGCTTAATAGGTGGGCTGACTTACTCATCAGATGTTTAAAGAGCCGTAGGTTAGAGGGTCTGGGGATGGAGCAGAGATTTGGAGGGCAGGGAATGCGGCTGATTTCTCCTTGTGAGCAAAGCGGGTGATCTTCCTCCCGGGCTTGGGGGGTTGGAGGCATGGGTAGAAGCCTGGCATTGCCCATCAGACCACATCAAAGAGGGTCTCTGCTTCTCACCCACAGAATCTAGAACACCCCGGGCACTTGGCACTTGTTCTCTCTCATTTGGAAATCACTGTCGTTAAATTAGGTTTCAATAACTCGACTCCTCTTATCAGCGCACACTTGCAATTCAGTCATCTCAGGATAGAACGGGTCTCTAAAAAAGGGAAGCCGCTGTGCCCAGGAGTGGGGTCCTACCCAGCTTCTCCTTGCCGGCCCTGGCAGCAGCTACCACAACCAGAAGCAACTCACGCTGCGGTGGCCACTTCCTCAGGCCCTGAGCGACGCCCCAGGGGCACAATTTGGCCTCTGTGAGTGCCTGGAGTGGGGGGCCAGGTTCAGGATCTTGTAAGGGTCACCAGGGATGCCCACATCCTGCAGTGGGCCAAGGTGACCAGAAGACCCCACTGCAACATGCCCCACAGGGCCCCAACCTCCCCCCACTGCCCCTGCCCCCCCCCCACCTCCAGGAGAGCTCCTTCCTAAAAGATCTTCCTTTAAAGATCTAATCTCCCTCCCAGAGTTCCCTTTAAAAATGCAAGTTTGTCTTGGATAAAAACTCATGAAACTAGTCAGCCATTGACATCTTAGTATGAATCAATCTATCAGAAATAAATTGGGAGGCAGAAAGAAGAAGGAGATTGCGGACAAGTGCACTCGCAGGTGGCCCAAGGATGCAAGACGTAGAGTTTGGATAGTGAGGACCCCAGGGGGTGGCTCCAGGGCCCTTGGTTAAAATGTACAGGCTCATGGGATAGTAGGTCCATGAGGGCCCAAGAGACCAAGAGACGGCCTAGCCTAGCACTCCGTAGCTTGTAAATGATGATGTGAAAGCCCGGGGGAGTTAAGCGGCTGGTCACATGCGACAACACTACACGGCTACCTAACTCACTAGACAAACAGCCCAGCTCTTTTTTTCTTGCTAGAATAAGCTGCCTCTTCTCCTTGTCATCTTCTGCTTGGGGCCGGTCCCTCCTCTTCATTCCTGCTTCCTGGCCCCAGGCTCTGGCTGGGGCCTCCTCATCCTACAAGCCCCCCTGAGAGCCACCACAGAGCATGAAGCCATCTCCCGTGTGTGTGTGTGTGTGTGTGTGTGTGTGTGTTGTGTGTGTGTGTGTATGTGTTTCTTAGGTCCCCCGGGGAGGGGGCGGGGCCGCCAGCTACCACTTGTGCAATCTATACCTTAGTTCAAAGCCATTTACAAACCCAGGGCCATGAATTCTTGGGCTGAGGGTACCAAGACAACCCCATTAGACGACTGGGAAGAGAGGCTAGGAAAGGCCTGTGATGTCATTGTCTGCTGCCACCATCAGAGTGCACTCATTATGTGCTCAAATGTGCACAGTGTCTCATTGGCTGCCGGACAAAGCCAGTGCTGCCCTCCAGGGGTCGGCAGGGTGGGGCTGAGGTGGGCCGCAGACCTCAGGCCCCAGGGTTCAGCCCCCTCACACATGTGCTTCCTCAGATGACCTCAAACTCAGAAAATAAGATTCAGAAGAACTGGTTTGAGGGTGTTCTCTCAGACCATGAAACATTTCTTGTTTAACAATCAGAACAGATTACAAAAACAAAAACAATAACAAACCCAAATATTAGGAAAACAAAGGTCCAGAACACAGGGGAAAGGTGAAGAGTTAATAGGAAGTAGAAGTTCATTTCTGAAAAGTTTTGGGACTGATATGATCAGCCTGTCTGAAGTTGGTCAGGCAGTTCTCTAACCTGGCTATTCCAACACGGTAAGGAGGGAGAAGGATCAGAACAGGAGGGGACCCTGGGAACGATGTCTAGACGGCTGCGTGGGTCACCTGAATCTAAGCCGCGCGGGCTCACTAGACGTCTCTGAGATCTGAGTATCTTTGGAGACGGCAATAAAAGCCCAGCGTGGGGGCCCGTGGTCTCCCTGTACTCTCCCAGGGAGCTGGGGGCTTCAGACCTCCTCTTTCTAAAACCTGAACCCCTGCTGAGAGAAGCACTATTTTCTGAAATCCAAACAGTCCCCCCAGAGAATTGTAGCCTCTTTGGGAGCAGGTTGAAGGCCACCAAACAGCCTGGCCCGGTAGGCAAACTGTACTGAGATTCCTCCAGAAGACAACAGATCTGGGTTAGGTGGGTGAGGTGTATGTGGGTGGGAAAGGAAGCATGTTTACCCGGTTTCCCGCTTCTGGAATAAATAGACACCTGTCTTTCTTTCTCTTCAACCACGGAAAGCTTATGATGGATCACGTAGCAGAGATGGGGGCAGAAAGGGAGACACCACACAGGACAAACACTTCCCTGACCATGGAAATCATCAGAAAAAAGGTCTCATTCATTTTACAGTATATTAGGCTTCGAAACTGCTAAGGGGCACCTCTTGGTTAGAAAAAATACATATACACACATTCCTAGAGAACTGGGAATTAGGTGAGGTGCAGCCGACACTGAGGAAGGCCAGTCCTGAGAGCTGGGGAGGCGACAGCCAGCCTGGAGCAGGGGGGCAGGAGGTGGACAGAGGGCCGCCCCCCACCCCAAAACCTCCCCAAGGTGAAATTCAACAGCTCACCCTCAGCAAACCATTCAAAGCTGACCAACTCCCAAGGCCACAGTGGAGAGGAGTAGAAAAGCAAGATCAAGAGCGTTTTAGTTTGGTCTAAGTGGAAATATCCAGCCACTCAAACTGAGGTTTCACGTGGTTGGATGTGTGTGCGTGTGTGCGTGCACACACATGCGTGCACACGGCGTGGCATTCCTAGGAAACTCTCCGTAGCATGTATTTCTCTTTTCTAGGAAGAAACTAGAAGTGCACGTGTGTGTAGGGAGAAAGGGTCATGAATTAAACTAAAAATAGTGTTTGTTGAGAGCATCTTGAGGACAGTGCTGGTGAGAGTAGTGATAATGAGGGGGCAGACGTGGGCAGAGAGATTTTGTCGTTTTAATTAATACCTCCCACCATATGGAGGAATCCCGGTGTCCCTGAGACGTTTTAGTTTCCTGTTGGTTGGCACTCAGTGGATTCCCTCTCTCCATCCCAGGGACTGCGTCCTGAGCCAAACAAGGGGCTCGTTCATGTTCTCCGGCCACAGCCAGAGCGACGGCCAGCTTCTCTTGGGCGGGAGCACTTGGCCGGCCTACCAAGGGCCAGTTGTACGAGTCCTGAAAGGTGGACCTGAAGCATTCTCACTTGGAAATGCTTTCCTAGACTTCACATTTTTTAATTTTTAAAAACATTTTTAAGGATTTTATTTATTTGTGAGCCAGAGCGAGCGAGCACCAGCAGAGGGAGAGGCAGGGGCAGAGGGAGAAGCAGACTCTGCTGAGCAGGGAGCCCGTCACGGGGCTCGATCCCAGGACCCCGAGATCATGACCTGAGCCAAAGGCAGATGCTTAACCGACTGAGTCACCCGGGCGCCCCTCGACTTTACATTTAATTTTCAAAGGAAGGAGGGGGGTTTATCAACAGCAGCCAGCCGCCCCAGTTTCCCATGGCTGTCTACCTTATTTTAGCCACAGTACTTGTGGCTTTTAGGTCAGTTTTGGTTTGAAGGGGCCCCTGATTCTGCTCCAAATCATTTAGCGAGGTCACTGGCTCTAATGTTGCAGCTTCTCCGACTTTCCAGCCCACGAAAGGGCAGGTGGTTCTGCGGTCTGCGAGCGTCCCACGAGCCAGGGCACGCGCACCCGCCTCCTCTGCCGGGGAGGCCGCCCGGATGCCCTAACTCAGGAGGCTGGGTGGTGGGGGGCAGCAAGCATCAGAGAGCCTGGCGGTCCTTGCCACCCGGGGCACAGGGGAGAAACCTCGCGGCCGCCACCCCGAGCAGGAACCGAAGCCACTGCTCGGCGTCCGAGATGGCCAGGGGCTGAGTCACTTACGTTTTAGAATGTTCCTCTGCTCCAGTTCCTCTGCTGTCGGCCTCTGGCTCAGCCGCCTACGGAAAAAATCCAGGAAAAGTTTTTGGACCATATCGTATCCTCCCTGGGTCATTAGTCTCGGCGGCCCGCGTAGATACATGAGGCAGGGAGAGTGGCTCAAATCGCTGTCCCATCCTGGGCCCCGGCCTGCGGGCCTTCACCACGGCCGCAGGCTCAGTTCCTCAATTTCAACCCCAGGAAAGGCACCGGGCGGCGCGTCCGGGAGCTGACCCTCCCCCTTCCCCTGCCCCCGCCCTCCGCAGCCCTGCTCCCCCACTGCCTGGGGCCACCGGGACTCTCCCCTTCACAGAGATCCCTTTCTTTCCTGTGGCCTCCTAACTCGGGGACCGTGGCCTCTGCCCTCCTCCACCCCCTCCCCCCCAGGCTAGAGCTCGCTTCTTGCCATGTTTGTGCAGAGCCAGTTAGAGCACCAAGAGGGTCATGGCCCCGGGGGGACGCAAGACAGTGTGTCTTGTCTGCGAAGAACAATAGGTGCTCTTCTTCTGGTCTCCGCCCATCCCAGGGAAGGGACGGGAACAGCAGCGACACTCCTGTTGCCACTCCTGCTGCAGGCACCGTAACTGAGCCCTACCGAGTGCAGCATCACAGCAGGGCCGTGAACTTGCCAGGATGCAACAGTGGCGGGCGGGGACAGCCAGCAGCGGCCCCCGCGTCCGGATAGAAGTCGGTGGCGGGCGGGCCCGGCACGCGGTGGTGCAAAAAGTTCTAGGAATGAGCAACACAAACCGTGCGCCGCGGTATTCACGGAGACGCCTGCATTTTTTGAAGCTCTGGGCAGTTATCTCAAGACCCCCGCAAAGTTGAGCAGCCCGCTTCACCCCTGGGAGGAGGTGTGCGTGAGATGAGAAGGAGCCGGGGCTGCTTGGTGCCCTGCACCGGCCCGGCGCGGTGGGTGGGAAGGGGGTGCTCTCCTGGCAGCACAGGCTGTGTCCCCAATCCCAGCATCGGCCACCAGCGTCTCCGGCTGGCAAGGCGTCCACACCATGGAATCTCGAGAGAGACCCGGCGTGAAAACATCAAGGCCGTGGAGTTACCAAGTGCAAGCAGTTTAAATTCAATGCGACTTGTCACCTGTCATCCTCCTCATTGCCCTGGACTCTGTGAGACACCCCCCCCCCCATGTCATCACCATAGATGCTCTAGTAGGGAGGGCACGGGCTTTGATGCTACAGAAAGGATTTGGGGTCAGATACTGCTCTGTAAACTCCTTAGCACCCTGGAAATGGCTAGAAATTGTAATCCGAAGCGTTTTTCAGTTTATAAGAGCGTTTTCATGTTCATTAGTCACGTTCCCTCCCAAATGTCCCATGAAGACACCGTTGCTTCCCACTGATCCGGGCCAGCTGTATATTTTGGAAATTTGCAATACTGGAGGCTCTAAATTGGGATTCCACAATCTCTAAGCCTTTCTGAAAATAGCACTCGCGGACCTGGGGAGGAAACCATGTCATTGGTCTGGAATAAGGACCACACTCAGACTGAGCTTCTCAGAGGCCCTGTCTCACCTTTCCATTTATCTTACCCCAGAATGCTCGCTTTGTCTGGAGGCATGTGCAGGTGGCTTTATGGGACCACTTGGTGGAACCCAGGCTCTGGGTGAAGCCAGGGCTTTAGGTCAGTAGGTTCTGATTGAAGCTCTGGATACAAGCTTGCATCCCAGAAGCCTTATGGCCAGAAGCATCTGCAGAAAGTTCCCCCACTGGCTTGTGCTGAGAAGCCCACCGATTCTCTCCCCGGATCCACTGCCTGGCTCTGTGCTGGCTTTTTCATTTTTGCTTTTCCATATGGGTCATGTTTGGAGGGGACAAAACAATAAGTGACTGAGCTCTAAGCAGGACAATTTCCATTAGCTAGGAGGCCTCGGAGTCAAAGACACACGCTTTCAAATGAGGCCCTCTGTTGAGGTGTCATTTCTCTTGAAAGGGTCTGAGAACATTGAGGCCGATCACGGCTATAAAACGTAGCAAAGCTCTCCCGAAGGACACGGGTGGCAATCAGTCGCTTTGGCTTTGAAGATGAGACTGGGTAGGGAAATGATACTGTGGCATCGTGATGACAAAGCACTAAACAGCTCAGCAGTTAGGGGATCTGGGTTCTCGTTCTCACTCTGCTCAGAACCTGCTTTCTCGTGGACAAGGTGTGGGACTCTGCTGCGAATAATAAATAGTAATTTAATAGCCTAAGGCATGGTTTTTAGAAACATATGCTATGTACTTAGCCACATCTGAATGAGGACTGTTTTACTGCAAGTGAGCTGGGGACGGAGGGATAGAAATAAGGATAGAAAGAAAGAAAAAAAAAAGAAAGAAAATGCATAATAAAAATAAACCCATTTATTCATTTCACAAATTATTTGTTAGAGGCCAGCTCTGTGCCAGGTTCTGTGTTAGGGGCACCGGGTGAGGACAAGCAGGTCAAGGTCCTGCCTCCAGGGGAGGCAGTCATTCACCAGGTAGTCATGGAAGTAAGTAGGCCACGTATCTGTAGTTAAAAGGCTTCCGACAGGAGGCACGTGCGCGGGGATTCTGACCCAATCGGGTCAGGAGAGGGTCCTTTGCAGAAGTGACACTGTGCCCTGATGTGAAGGGTGGAGGGAGCCACGTTGCTGGAAGGTGGACAGCCAGGGGAGGAAGGATGGTGGGGAACAGGCAGGTGCCAGGCCATGTGGCCTGTGGGGGCTGTGTTTGGGATTTTGGCAACGAAAAAGTTGATATTTTAGCATCAGTGAGGGGAAGGGTGAGTGAACATTTCAGATTTACAACGGATCTCCTTGGTGGTTGTCTGGAGAAGGGATTGGCGGCGAGGGAACAAGAGACGGTTTGGGAAGAAGCCACAGGAGGCTCCTGTGCAGCTGGTAAGGGAGAGGGGACACCTGAGCCAGGCTGTGGCAGCTGACATGGCCCATTCTTAGGAAGCCAAGCAGACAGACCGTGGAGATGCGGTGTAGATGGACAAAGGCGGGAGAAACAGGGATACATAAGATCTGTCTGTCTGTCTGTCTGCCTTAGGTTTCACGGCTTACACAACTGGATGGATGGTAAAACAATTCACTGAGATGGGAACGAGGGAAGAGCAGCAGAGTATTTTGGAGGATGGTAAGGGTGGAAGGGAACCATGAGTTTGAGTTTGGATTGTTGAGTCAGAATGCTTTTGTAACATCCAAGTGGAGAGGTCAGGTAGGCAGGTGCATGCACCGGGCTCAGTGGAGACCTCAGTGGAGAGGTCGAGGCCATTGAGAGAAATCTGGGGCTGAAACTATGGAAAGAGCCCAGATGTCCATCAGCAGATGAAAGGATAAAGAAGATGTGGTATAGATATACAGTGGACTACTACTCAGCCATCAAAAAAAAAAAAAAAAAGAAATGTCACCATTTGCAATGATGTGGATGGAACTAGAGAATAGTATGCTAAGCAAATAAGTGAATCAAAGAAAGACAAGTTTATAATCTCACTCATGTGGAATTTAAGGAACAAAACAGGGCAGCCTGGGTGGCTCAGAGGTTTGGTGCCGCCTTCAGTGCAGGGCGAGATCCTGGAGACCCGGGATCAAGTCCTGCGTCAGGCTCCCTGCAGGGAGCCTGCTTCTCCCTCCGCCTGTGTCTCTGCCTCTCTCTGTGTCTTTTATGAATAAGTAAATAAAATCTTAAAAAAAAAGAAATGAAACAAAGGATCATAGGGGAAGAGAGGGAAAAATAAAACAAGATGAAATTGAGATGGAGACAAACCATAAGAGTTTTTTTAATCATAGGCAACAAACTGAGGGTGGCTGGAGGGGAGGTGGGTGGGGGGACGAGGTAACTGGGTGACTGGCATTAAGGACAGCATGTGCTGTGATGAGCATTGGGTGTTACACATACAGCTGATGAATCACTGACCTCTACCTCTGAAACTAATAATACATTATATGTTAATTAATTGAATTTAAATAAAACCAAAAGAAATCTGGAGCTGGTCTGCAATATGGAGAATATCTGAAGCCAGGAGTATGATGGAGCACAGCCTGAGGAGGCAAGAGGAGTGAGGCTGGAACCTCACAGAATCTCGCTATTTACCATTAAGACTGAGCATAATGACGCTCCCGGGAGCTAGAGGAGGGCAGGCCGTGAGGGCAGGTGAAAACGTAGCACATCCTGGAAGCGAGGTGGCAAGATGGGCACGGCCAACAACGAACGGTGCTGAGTGCTGCCGAGGGGTCAGGTGAGCCTGGCAAACTGCCCATGGGGTCCAGGACCAGGTGGGCTGTTAGCAACCTCATCTAGAGTTCTTTCAGGGGGTGCAGGACTGGAAGCCAGGCTGAAGGGGCTTGAGAACAGAGGTGGGAAGATGGACAAGGAGAGATGATTCTTCCCAAAGCCTGGCTGGACGAGAGAGTTGCAGGTGAAGTGGGCCCTGGTGAGGTTTACACTTTTTACTGGGACAAGACTGGATGTGTTTAATGGAAAGAATCCAGATGAGGTGGTCCTGTCGAGACACTACGTAAGGAGGGAGGAGGCTCGGTTGACGGTGCGGAGTCCCGAGGAGGTTGGGGGGGGGGTGGTGTTGTCCAGGGACACAGAGGGCTTCCTTCTCAAATGGAGGGATGGCTCTTTACCAAGACAGGGCAAGCAGGATGGCTTGTGTGTAGGTGTTGTACGTAGGTGTGTATGCTTGGTATGGGAATTAATGAAGAGTTCCCAACTGACGGCTTTCACTTACTAGAACACAAATTAAGTCAGTCTATCACAAGGATGACTTATATCAGCTTAAAATATTACCTTTCCTTGACCGGTTGGTCTTTGGACAGAGCCAAATTCATAAACCAAAGGCATAAAGCTCTAGCTTCAGAATTCTAGTGGCCAGTGGTCCTTCAGGGAAGGACCCAGGGCAGCCTGACATGGTCCAAGTAAAGCAGCCTGCTGCTGGGCTCCTTTCCAGATCTACCTTGTACAGAAATACGGGTTACTAGAAAGCCGGATAGCAGAGCACAATTACTCTATTAATGAATAGTGGTCAGTTT